GACGGCATCGGCCTGTGACAACCGCCTGCTCGGAGCTGGAGGCGGCCGGCAGGGTGGAGGCGTCGCTCTTCCCTGGAGAGCGGTGTCAGTCCCTGCTTGAAAGATGGCGTCCTCTCCCATGGGGACCGAGGTGGGAGAGGAGTAAACGCCCCGTTCAAGCAGCACAAGAACACCCTCCAAGGGTGAAAAGTAAGCCTGGTTCTTGGAAAAAGGGCCAGAAAAAGGAAAGCCAGCATGCACGGAAAGCCCAGAGGTTTACACAGGACAAAGTCCACGGTGGTCTGCGGGGCCTGGCAGGGCAGCGGGAGGAGGATGCTGCTGGAGATGAAAAGCAAATCGTTGTGCTCTGCTTGGCAAGGCAAGGGGCCAGGGAGAGCCCGAGGACCAGAAGAGGAAATAGTGAGCTGCTCTTGGGGAGCACAGGGAGGGAGGTAGAAGTATGAAAGCCTCTGCTGGTCACTGGAAGGGAGGTTTAGGACCGGCTTCCTGGCTGGGAGGAGAGCAAAGCGACCACACAGATTGCTTGGACAGAGACTGCCGAGTCTCCCTTCGTCTCAAGGGCTGGTCATGCAGACACACATCAGGAATGGTATGCGTGTTGGGAGGCTCACTTAATTAGTGTTTGCGAAGCGCTCTGAGGACAGGCGATGTTCTTGAGAGGCTGAGCAGTACTTTGGCAGGTAACAGATGGAGCCTCTCAGAAAGAGCTCTCTCTTCACCCTGCAGCTCTTGCTCAGCCGTTTTTCCTCCAGACGGATACTGCTGTCTGAAGGAGTCAGACTTCTGCTTTGAGCTCGCTGGAACAAGGATGAAAGGCAGGAATATTCACGTCTCAGAGCTATTTGCGTGGTCTAGCAGCCTGCCTGTGCATTCAGGGGACACCAACACAGCATCTCATAGACTGTGGAGCTGTTGCACTCGCTGCCTTATAATGGAAAATCAGTCTGTTGAAGTTTCAGTCTTCAGCTGCTCCCAAGTCCATGCAACACTGGGTGCACCAGCTGCACCAGTGCTCTGCTCTCCAGCCCCCTCCCTTTGGGGACGAAGATGCCAGGACTCCTAAATACCAGTGAATGGTCTACAGCATCTCTTTCCTTCAAACAAGACAGCGTTGGGTAACTTGAGGCTGCAGGCACTGTGTTCGGTCAGTTCAAACATTCAGTAAGGCCGCCGGACAGTCCAGGCCTGAGCACTTCCTCCACCCGTAGCTGCCAGCACCAGCTGATAGCCTTCCTCTCCTGGCATTCAGTGCTTTTTCAGTGCCCCTGCCTGGGGGCATCCCAGGTTTATTGGTGGTGACAGGGCAGTCTGGGTTCCTCACTGGCTGTCGTGGTTTAACCCCAGCCAGCAACTAAGCACCACGCAGCCGCTCACTCACTCCCCCCCATCCAGTGGGATGGGGGAGGAAATCGGGAAAAGAAGTAAAACTCGTGGGTTGAGATAAGAACGGTTTAATAGAACGGAAAAGAAGAAACTAATAATGAATAATGATAACACTAATAAAATGACAACAGTAGTAATAAAGGGATTGAAATGTACAAATGACGCGCAGGGCAATTGCTCACCACCCACCGACCGACACCCAGCGGCGATTCCCTGCCCCCCCCTTCCCAGTTCCTAAACTAGATGGGACGTCACATGGTATGGAATACACCGTTGGCCAGTTTCGGTCAGGTGCCCTGGCTGGGCATGAGAAGCTGAAAAATCCTTGACTATAGTCTAAACACTACTGAGCAACAACTGAAAACATCAGTGTTATCAACATTCTTCACATACTGAACTCAAAACATAGCACTGTACCAGCTACTAGGAAGACAGTTAACTCTATCCCAGCTGAAACCAGGACACTGGCCTTCACCTGATCACGTTCATTCATTTTTGTGTGCTGCATGGGAGGGGCAGTTTTGCTTGGAAAGCAACTGAGCAAGACTTAACTATCTCCGGGGCTGTCTGAGGAGCTGTTGCTTCACTGTTCATGGCAAATAAAGCATGGTGGGGTTGGGAAAAGTCCCATGGGTCTGCTGAAGGGCAGAGCACAACTGAGAGCAATAGGATGCTGTTTGCCCAGCACTGGCATTGCGCCCCATCCGTGGTGGAAAGCACAGGCAGGCCAAGTGCGGTCAGGCACAGGCGCTGGTGGTTATCGCGTACAGATACGCACATCTCCACACCGAGGGTGTCTAAGGACCCGGAGGAAGGACTGCAGCCACATGGGTGCTCTTGCAGTGCAGGCTGTTGCAGGGAAGAGCACAAAGTTGAAAGCTGGGGGGCTGCTTTTGTAGGGGCGTAGTGACAGAGGAGTTGAATCACGAGGGGACGGGAAGCTCAGTGGCACGGGGAGGTGCAGGGAGCCAGGCGGTGGGGCGACCTGCCCTTCTATCAAGAAGTGAAGATGAGACTCACTGCTGTTGCTGTCAGGAGCAGAAACCAAATGCCACAACCAGCACAGCGGCGCCTTCACAGGGGCGTACAACATCTGTGGGTGGCATGGGGACACTCGGGATCCTCCAGTGCTGCTGGAGGAGGGAGAGGAGAACAAGGTGGAGGGTCGTGGCAGCCCTTCACCATACTGTCCCGAGGGCCGGCTGAGCAACAGGGGCTTACAAAGAGCGACAGCACCCCTTTGACCCCAGCAGCTGCTGTGGGGAATGCGAGGCACCGCCACCAGGAGGGACTGCCAGGAGCTGATGGTGTACTCCTGTATTCAGCCTGGAAGACACTGCTAGGAGTAGCTGGCTGTCAGAGCAACACAAGGGGGACCTGAATTTGAATGTGTTGGATTTAAAGTAGCTGTAAAGGGAAAATCTGCACCCAAGGAGGGAAGATGACCTCTAGCAACAGTAATGCAGCTGTGTTGCAGAGGATGCTGCTGAGCAGACAGCGAACCCAGCATTGCCATCCACAGCGAGGACTTGAGAGCCCACCAGTGTCCATGTCCCCCTCCCCAGACACATTGTCCCAGCTCCTTCTGCACCCCTCAAGAGATGACACAGGCCTGAAACATGACTCCCTATGACCTGTATTTTAGATCAGCCTGGAGTGTTTCCTTGAAGGGAAGCAAGAGGTTTTGGCACATTCCCTGGTTTTACCAGCTTTTTTCCCCACCTTTTCACGTAGATTCCTTCAAACACCAGCAACGCTATTGCTAAAGCTGAACCCTGTGGAGTGTAAGAAACACCCCCTGCCTGGGGGACGCATCCATCTCCATCACTGCTTGCAGCATTGCTGGGTTCCCCCCAGCCCCATTGCAAGGTCCCAGTAGCAAAGCTACAAGGAACAGGCAGTAAGCAACATGTGCTTCGCCTTGCATGGCTCTTAATTTCAGTTTTAAGGGCAGTGGGATGCAGAACTGGAATCTGAACCCCCTACTTTCTCGGGTGACCAGATCCTGTTTCTGACAGGGGTAGGCAGCACCCCGTGAAGAGATGTGCAACAACAGGATAAAAGCAGTGTTCGTGCCCCTGTCCTCCCAGCTTCCAGAAGCACTTCTGCAACAGACTGAAACAACCCCACTTCTTTGTTCTCTTTAAGAAAGCTCAGTTTGGACTGAGACCCAAGCTCAGCCCCTGCACTGATCAAACTTTGCTGCCAGGTTGGCAAATGCCCCGTCACACAGCCACATCGCAACACGCTTCTGCCTGTTAGCGGCTAGGACTGCTAGCTACAAGCCAGCGATAGACAGCAGGCAGAGTGCATGGGGCTGGGAGGAGAGGGAAAAAGGGAAGCCGCATAGGTTGGTAGAGAAGCCATGTCAACTAGCTGTAGGCAGAAGCCTTGCTCTAACCTCATCGTGCCTTCAATTTGGTTTCCTGGCTCTAGCTGTGTTCCTGTCAGTCAGCCACATGCTGATCCCAATCTTGCAGCAGGATGGGGGTAGTGGAAGCTCCCGCCGAGCACGGCTCAAGGAAACTTTCAGTTCACGGCAACTGCAGATCTTGCAAAGGAGACATTTTCTCTTCTGGACATCCAGGCGCCTAGGCTCAGCTGAGGGCAGCTGCCAGACAAGGAGCCAGGCAGCTGGGGATGGGGGAGAGACAGTTTTGTGGCACAGACACCAAGTTCTGCAACAGGACAATTCGTCAAAAAGCAGGAATGCTTTGCTCCTTCCTTGTCTTTCAGGCTGGAGAGCAGCATATGGAAAGCAAAGCTGTCCTGGCTATACCAATAGATTTGAGACAAGCCTGCCCTAGCACAACGCTCCCCTTCTTCCCACATGCCATTACTCTATCCTCTTTATTTTTTAGCTCTTCCAGCTGCATCCCAGCATGCATCCTCATACCAAAAATGCTCAACCAGAGTAAAACCCAGTATCCCTTAGCTCCTGTTGCCTGCAATTCAGCAACAGCCCAACAGCCCCGAACAGCAAGACACTTGGCCACGGCTGCTGCAGAAAGCCCACAGGAGGAAGCATGTTTATAGCACATCAGCTATACTGTACTGGATTAAAACTTAGCTACTTTCTGCACATCAAAGTGAGGAATAGTCCATGGGAGGCAGGATGGAAATGCCCCTTGGGTGGCAGCACAAGCATGCTGTGAAACACACACACAAGTTCTCGCCTTTTCTGAGAACTCAGCTTCTCAGCTGTGGGGCTTGCATTACCACTGCTCCCACAGGGCAGATCTGAGGTTCAGTGCAAGGGAACAGACAAGATGAGGCCAGCAGAGGCAGCAAGCTCAAGTCTCATAAGCAGACAAAAAAGCCCTGCTGAAAAAAAGCAGGTGATGGAGGAAAGAAATCAAACAAGCTGGAATTTGGAAAGACTTCTCTCAAATACATATAGCCATTGCCTACAGCCAAAAGGGTAGTAATGTCTACCCTTAAGTGCTAGTCTAAACTGACTTGAGCTCCAGCAGTCTGACCATTCATACATTGAGAAATGCCCAGCTTCTTCTGTGTTTGGCACAAACATTTAATAGCAGAATTCAAAACTCAATATGTTCCATTTTAGTCTTATGTGGAAAATTAGTGCAGGTGATAATCTTAATTGTACAACAACATGTTAAAAAAGTTTATTTTACATTATATACAGTAGGGAACATATTTCAAAGCATTACCCATCACAACAATAACGCAGGCCATAAATCACTTTAAATTTAGTTTGGTTTTAGTGTATATTATCACAATAAAATATAAAGAACATATACAAAAAAAAAGGAGTCAAATGTGTGCATTTTGCTAAAACTTGGCATTTACATACTCCATTGGAAAATAGCAATCAAAAATACTTCTGATCAAAACTAAGTTCCTGTGATGCATAGTAACCATTGTATTGTTTGAATGAGGTAGTAACTAAATTATTTTGGCCATGTGTTAACATCCTAAATCAAGAAAAGTGTGAAAATGGTTGTAAGGCCAAAAAAAAGTCAAAATGGCAACATCTTTGAGCCATTTCCACAATGTGGAATGTCACTCCTTTTCACTGTGATATGAAACCATTTAGTAAGACCAACAGTAATACCAATTTTTAATCACTGTATACACTAATAATTCAAACACCTATTGCAGTGTTGCAGCCAGGTACCACTAGTCTGGGACTGACATCCAACCAGAAAGTATTGTTTTCAAGCATAGAGAAGTAATCGTAAGGAGAGTTTTAATTAAATATAAAAATACAGGTGTTTAGCTGGTTTGTTTCACAAAGAAAACTACCCAAGTAAACTAAAAAAAGAAACTTTGAAGCCCAAGTCATATCCACAAAGTCACAGCTTACCTTTGTGACTAAATACATCACATCTCAATACGTTGTGCAAACATGAACACCAGTGTGTTGCATCAAAATTAAAACAAGATTGTAATCTGATTACAGCCTTGGTTACGATTTCTAAAAGTTAAGATTTACTTGTATTAGTAAATTACATATAATAAAATACAATAGTGTTGTTAAATGTACTATATTTGTTGCTAGCATCCCACTTTATAATAAACACAAGAAGTCCTTAAAATAGTACCCCGATTTCATTTTTGCATCCTCAGTGACTTTTACATCTGTACAGGTAAGACACTTGTACTTAACAGGAGGACCGCTATCTACAGAAGGTCAGTGTAGGTCTTCAGCAAGAAGTTTCACTGAAAAATACTGCATATGTACAAAGATTACATAACAGTAAATTAAGCACTTCTGTGGTATCATAATGCTTATGTGTCCATACCACAAACAATTCTCATCTTCCTCTTATGCCACAATAAATTATAAAGTAACTGAAGTGGGGTTACTGCAGCTTTTGTGCAATTTCAGCCAGCCATGAATGCTGCTGCAGTAGGAGTGTTCTCTTGTCACGGTCAGCTGCCTGCCATGCGCTGTTCTCAGTAACTGTTCTCATGCCCTGCCAGGATATACAAATTGCTGTTGGCTGTTGGGTTATCCGTCGGCCTACTCTCCAGGACCACGACCCTAAAATGAAAATAAAAAAGCCACAACATCAGGTAAGCCTTCATTTAAAAACACCCCTGGATATTACTGCAAATATTGTTTCCCAGGATCTGACCAGTGGTCATTTCTCTTTCCCTGGACGCCTCTAGTCCAAAAGCTGCTCAAAGCAAGGCCAACCTCAAAGCTGGCTCAGTGTCTTGTCCAGGCAAGGTCTCCAAGGATCTCCCACAGCCTCTCTGGCCTCCTACCGCAGTGTTCAACCACCCTCACCATGATGTTTTCCCCTCTTTTATCCAGCTGGAATTTCCCTTGCTGCAATGTATGCCTGTTGCCTCTCATCCTTTCAGTGGGGGCTTCTGAAAAGGGTCCATCACTCAGCTACTGCCTGGGCTTCTGCTTTCCTGGAGCTTTGCAAAACTAACCCGTTAATCAGGTTCCAGTTCTGGAAGTCATTAGTCTGCCCTTTGCCATTGGACATGACAGATAACAAAACTGACTCTTCTGTGGGCATTTCTAGCCCTTCCCTGAGCCCATGTAACCTAAATCCAGAGAAACTTCCTCCAGCTCTGAAAGTCCCAGAGACAAAGACCTGCAGGCTGAGAGAGTCCTCGAGGAAAGGACTGCTACGTGCAGAATCTATCTTCCTCTTTTCTTGCCACCCACTTTTGGCCAGCATTGGAGACAGGAGACTGGGTTCGCTGGACCTACACTACAACTGCAAAGACCATAAGGCATGTCCTACATCAGACCTTTCGCTTCAAAGGAGAGAAATTAGCAGTCACAATACTGTTTCACAAACTATTTGAGATTTTTTTAATCAGGCAAGAACTGCTAGAACCGCTAAATGGACCAGGATGTTCATGATTTAATTCTCCTCCACAAACACCCTGAAGTGAAGAGATTGTGGGAAATTCAAATCCATCTATTGTGCCTTCACCCAAGGAGAGGCTGCTTGCTTCAAAACAATCGCTCAGAAAACCTACCCTCTGCTCAATGTGCTCCACAAAGGGAATGACACCTCATGCCATGAAGCATTCCCCGCTCACCAGGAGAAAGCAACATGCAAGCTCTTATCAGACTGATGTCAGTTTTTTGGCTTCTCAGAACCCCAGTTCCTATGAACTGCCTAGGAAGTGAAATGTGTTACTGGAAAAAGGTTTCACAGCTCAAGCACAAATTATGACAGTGCTGCAAGCAAAGTGGTATCTGAAGAAATTGGAATTAATGTTTATTGCAGTGCAAAGTCTTTAAACACTGTTTCAGACTTGAGAGACTATTAGTGCAAGCCAGAAATAGATGAAACTGTATTTGGGGAAGAGTACATTATTTTTCCAAGGCAATCATTTGCAATGTCATGCTCCATTGTGAAGTCGGACTCATTTTTAAATTGAGCTGTGCTGTCTCTCAACAACTAAGAGAAATGACATCACAAAGCTGAGCTCCACGCACACCTCACTGGAACAGAGAGAGTAGAACCCTCAGGTCATACAGGAGTATTACTTTCAACTACCCGTTATGAAAAAGCTATCAGGTATTGCATGTAAGGCAGAATCTGCAACCCCCAGCCAACAAAGATCACTGGTAGCCAGCCAACAAAGCCACAGCACCATTCACTGCTGTTGATGTTTTGAGTAATTGCAGGGCTGTGCATCAAGCTTGGAGAAGCAGAATATGGGGAAAGCCTTTGGTTGATGTGAAGCTCTTTCGGTAGTTCTAAGATGCCACAGGAGAGCAAGTTTACCACAAGTGGTATAAGACAGAAGCAATTCTCAAAAGAAAAAGAAAAAAGAAAGCCTATCTTGGCACCTCATATGAATAAATTACTGGTGAAACCGTCACATCAGCATGCACTCCCCAGAAGACAAAACATCTGCTGTTTTCATGGCTGTTACAGAAGTACAAAGTTTGACAGCAGGGCAGAGAAAGTTGAGGAAGTCAGTGACACTCCTAAATGGCAGTTACTGACTTGGCAAGCTGATGTCTGGTGGGTCAGACAGACATAGTGCTACTGTCCTGCAAAGCGGATGCCAAAGAACAGCTATGCTGGGAATTATCAAGAGCTCTTACAAGACCTGAGCTGTCATGCTGGGAGGACAACTGGTGGAGTTCCTTTCTGGGGGTAAAAGTGAGATATTTAAATTATTAAGTGTTTTTTTTGCATTTGTCTGAAGAAGTAGATCTTGATGAGCTACTCCAGCAGAGCATCTGAAACTAAAGATTTCACCAAGTTAAACAAAAGAATAACAGCACAAAAAGAATGACGCTCCTGGAGATTGTAACTGCAGCCAAATAGGAGCTTGCTAGCATGGGTGATTACTTCTGGAAGCCCACAAACACTTTTAGAAGTTTTGTTTGGTTTTTTTTTTTTTAAGAAAGAGAAATAAACTTGAAGGGCTGAACGGTAGACATGTACACAAACGAATAAGATGGCTAAAAAAGGACTTGCAAGAAACAAGCAAAAAGAACTTTTACAAGGTAGGAGGATCACGCATTATTCTTCTATTTTAGCATGCCATGTTCACTTCTCTTCATACCTGTCAGATCCCAGAAGCCTGAATATCCTCGTATTATCAGAAATTTCTTGTGTGATCTAGAAAACAAAAATAAGACAAGTGTTTACATGTTAAGTGCATAAGTGTTTTTTATTAAAATCAACCTAGAGAAAATAATTGACTATGACTGATGTTACCAATTTACTGCTGACTGAAATCCACTAGAGAATTTAATCCAACTGCCATTTTTAAATGAGATCTAGAAGTTTTCTGTGATTCCTACACATTATGTGAATTCCTCTAGTAGCAACTGCAAGCACAACAGCAAGTCTCAGCGTTGCACAGCATCTGAGCTACCAGTGCAATTCCCTTTACAGCCATGACTGAAATAGGTAGCTGTAGGTTGCAATTTGTCTCACTCAAGTAGATATCCAAAATGGGTCAGGTAAATCACACATAAAATGCATTTTGTTGACATTCTGAATCATAGTAATGATGCAATAAATTCATATTCTGAAAACCTTAACAGGGAAACAATCTAATTTGTGGTACTTATGCCCATTGTCAAAATATTACGTCTTCTTTTCACATTTCAGACTAGTGCAATAGAGCTTTGTTTACTGTGGGTGAATTATACTTGTGTGACACATCTTTATGATCACGCGAATACCAAAGCACTAAAGAAAACATCATGTTAATCAAGTCAACCAAAGCCCACTGCATACTCCAAAGGATATCAAGTCACACTGTGAACAGGTAGCAGTGTTTACAAAGCTCCTTTTCTATACAGCCACATTTCACATTCTTGGGGAAAGAAGAGATTCTTCTCTCCTTCCCAGATCTCTGTAGCATTAGCTGACTTAGTGAATTCACTTTTGGCACAGAGAACTTGCAAGAGAATTTTAATTCACAACAACGAAGTTCCCCACTTGGTTAAGAAAATTACTTCCTGCTTGTTGTGGGGCTCAGTCTGCACAATCTCGGCCCAAATTTTGAGTGTCGTCTCAGAATTCATACAGTTCCCTGTTTCATTCTTCCCACTTAATCAAACCACTGTAGAAAGTCACGGTGGTGGAAGGAAACAACTTTGCAAGCAGCTCAAACTATCCCCCATTAAACCAACTGATAGCAGATTACGGAATCTGAACTAATCATGTCTTCAAAGACAAACACGCTGCGAAGTTAGGCTCGTCAGGTTTTTGTCCTGTGTAACCACTTCCTACACACTATATAGTATAAAATTCCCCCAAAGTAATGAATATGGTCAAGATCTGGGCCTGGTAATACAGGCTTTTCACACTACAGATGAAAATAAGTTTATTTTTTTCTTAATAGCTGTGGCTAGTAGGACAGCCAAGAGAGATAAGGAATTTTAAAAGGCCTGAGAGCTTACCCTAGACATGTTCTACAGAGGAAGAATTTTGGGTGGCTTGCTTTCTGACAACAGCTCAGTTCTGCCTTCTGTTCGTCATTTAGGTGCTGGCTTTTGCTTGACAATAGCAAAGCAAGAAGACACTGTTCCTTATGCTTTACATAAACAATACAAAGCATCCATCCACTTGCACTGCAGCACTCTGGGACATGCCCTCTAACAACTGGATCAGAGCTACTGAGTGCCAATGGGTGGAGTAATCCACTGAGCCTTGCAGAATGCTGGAGTCTGGAGTTGGAGAAGTGCCTAGCGGCATCATCTCCTTCTTGTAGTCTGTGCTAACAACGGGGTGCCGCAGTTCACCATTATGAGTTCCTGGGAGAAGGACAATCATGCCTGGGGATCAAATATGCACAAATGCCACAAGAACCATTTGCAGACTTGGAAATAAGAAGTAGTCTGACTCCAGTTTTTGGTCCAACTTCCCACAAAGAGCAGGCTCACTCTCAGCACAGATTAGATCAACTGTGGCTTTGTGCAAATAAACGTACTTGTGTAACAATGTGGAATGTCTAAGCTTGGCACGGTGTGACTGTACATGTACCTTAAAATACAACTAGTCATAATGAGCTCAATTTCTCAGACAACGCGACACTGACAAAACAAGTGGTGAAGTTTGTAAACTTTCTTTAATAACCAAATTGACACACTCATTAAAATCCTACAAACCACAGCATTTCCACTAACACATAGATAGACAAGATTTGCAGCAAGAAATTAAAAGAAAAAAAAAGTTGAGAAGATACTTGTAGTGGTTGAACTATGTCTAAAAACTCACATCAAACTGGCTGAAAAAGGGGACTACACAGAAATTTTAGAAAAAAGTCTTTAGGTCAATCTGACATTTTTCTCCTGAGAATGGAAAATATTTCCTGTGAAAGCTGAGCACTAAAACCTTCAAAGTATTTGTAAGCCAAGCAAACATGGAAAAGACTAAAGAACAACGGGGAACTCATTCGACACTGTGACAAAAAGCTAAAGCTCAGCGGTGCAGCATGCAACCACTGGCAAAGCCCAAATTTTGGTATCCATGTGTGAGAGGCTAAGGGACTGACACTGGTCTTCAAAGCAATTTAAGGTGAAGAAGATTCATGTTACCAAGAATTAGGCTTGGATATTTTCTATGGCATCACGACCCAGTCTCTTGCTGCTTTCTGCGTTAGACTTGACAGGGGATCTTGTGTAGCTTCACTGATTAGTTTGCAGCTTATGAAACATGCTTAGAATGAGACTCCAGCTTCCAGGTCTAATCTAGGAAATTACTGAAATGTTTTACTCTTTTTCAGACCATAGCATTGTGCATTTATCCTCTACTTGACCTATACTAGAAGCTAGAATGTGAAGCAAAATGCAGTACTCACCTCATTTGATCGAAAACTCCTTCCTTGCATGCCGTGTTTCCAGAATGCTAACACGCTGTCTTGTAGACAGACTGGTAACAAAGAATACTGGAATCAGTTTTGAGGCATGATGTCAACTCATGCTTTTAAGGCCAAAAGCACGACTGCAATTTTGAAATTTGTACATGTATGTTTTACTCTATGCCATTCACCCACACAGACTGCAAAATGTCTCACAGGAATCGCTGAACCTGCCTCAGAAATAGCTGCATTTATATATTCATTTGTTTAATGAGTGGGGTTTAAAAATATTCCTACCTAATCAGAAAAAGTTCTGAAACTGTCCTTCTGTCTAGTCCCAAACATGTCCTTTCCTTTGAACAGGAAACCCCTCCCCATTCTAATACTAACAGAAAGTATATATTGAATTTTAGCAGAAAAGTTACAGGGATACTGCACTGACATTCTTCACTTTCCCAGCAACTATTGGCTCACATGGTCCTTCTGCAACAGCAACACAAAGCTTTAGAGCCCTCTACTTCCCAGCCCTTCCCCTCATCACAAACATGGAGACAGACACCTGCATATGAACCCTGTGAAAGGCAATGGCTCTAGGGCCTTCCTCAAAGAGAGGGCAAGCGTGTAGGTCCCCAGGGAGAATCTGTCCCATGTGCATCCAGGACCCTGCCTCTGGGCAGGTATGCAGGAAAGAGAGGAGAGCTCTTTGGAGACACTATCAGGCCACAACAGGACACTGGTAGCTGGTTTGTGATGAGCAGAGAGGACTACAGCACATTCAGAGGTTGCACAGACCTAATTTGAAGACAAACAGTATGCACATTCAGAGTACATGTACTCCTTCCTTCCCTCCATTCCTAACTAAGAGGAACCATAAAAGTAGTGCTTTCCGTGACAATGTTTTTTTGTTCTCTCCTCTGTGGAGCGTTACATTTGAAGTGCCTGAAACTTTAAAGCTTCTCCTCAGAAGTAAATTCCCTCCAACTCATTATTTTTGTTCCCACTGTTCCTCTTCTTCTGGTGCTACCCTCCATCTGTGCACACATCCTTCCTCATCCCTCTTTCAAAAGCACATGATACAATCCAGGTATGTAAGCCCTGAGGAATTGTCAAAATAAATGTATTCTTTGTGTTTCACAAATCTAACTCATTCAGATTCTTCACAAGAAAACAAAATTTACGTAAAGTGTGACTTACCATATAATTTAGTCTTTGAGCTGCTTTATAAAAAAGGACTGTGTGACCACACACGCAGAATGAGTTAGCCATCAGTGATTCACAGAGTTTATGTAGATTGTGTTAAGGTATTCCTTTAGAGGCTGAAGGCCTCCATCATATTCCCAAGACACTTAGCCTAATCAGGGATGACTCCAGGGTTATTACTCCATTCCAATTGCTCCTAGGGAAGCATGTTACATAGCATGCTGAACCCTTCACTGAGCCTTCTCACACAAAGTGAAATGCGTGAGATAGGTGTTTCAAATGCCAAAGACTTGACAGTTAGCATCTCTAACTCTATACTGTAACAGTAAGTTAATCATAGAATATCTTGACTTGGAAGGGACCCATAAGGATCATCAAGTCCAACTCCCCGCTCCTCGCAGGACTACCTAAAACTAAACCATACGACTAAGAGCTTAGTCCAGACTCTCCTTAACCACCCTCTCAGTGAAGAACCTTTCCCTAATGTCCAGTCTGAACTTTCCCTAACACAGCTTCATAACATTTCCTCATGTGCTATCGCTGGTCACCAGGGAGAGGAGATCAGGACCCCCCCGCACTGGCCCCCTTGAGAAAGGTGTAAACTGCAATGAGGGCACCCCTCAGACCCCTCTTCTCCAAGCTGAACAAGCCAAGTCACCTCAGCCGCTCCTCCTAAGTCTTGCCCTCGAGACCTTTCACCATCTGGGTCACCCTCCTCTGGACACACTCTTCGTAGTCTGATGTCCTTCATAAACTGAGGTGCCCAAAACTGCACCCAGTGCTTGAGGTGGGGCCGCACCAGTGCAGTGTAGAGTGGGATAGTCACCTCCCTCGAGTGGCTAGCGATGCTGTGCTTGATGCACCCCAGGACACGGTCGGGCCTTTCGGCTGCCAGGGCACACTCTTGACTCCCCTTCAGCTTGACATCAACCCAAACCCCCAGATCTCTTTCCGCAGAGCTGCTCTCCATCCTTCTTGTCCCCCAGTTTACCCCATCCCAGGTGCAGAATCCAGCACTTGCTCTTGTTAAATGTCATACGGTTGGTGATTGCTCAGCTCTCTAGTCTATCCAGATATTCAATATTAATAATGAAATCCAACTTACCTATTGATTCAATCTGAAAGTCAAACGTGAGCTCCGATGACAGTCTGCGGCTGGATTTTAACCTGCCTTGCAGATTCACTATTTTTATGCAGCCTAGACAATAAACAGGATACGTCAACCAAGAATTGACCTTCAATATATGACCTAATTTGAAGACAGACAGTATGCATGTACATGCATACGTATATATTTAGTTGATACTAAAACTTACAATCCAAACACACCAAAATGGTATCCCTCTCCAGCTGTGTTACATGTACAACACTTGTCTCTGTAGTGTCTATAAAAAAATGACAGTGTTAGTTCATAACATAAATTAGCATGAAATTTGAAATGGAACTTCTAGAGATTGAGACAATTTAATGGGTTAGTGTGGTTTTATCTACTTAAAATAATCATCTTACCAGTGACATTTCTCTTCTCTTAGAGAGGCATGTCCACTTATCCAACATGTTGACTGTGACAGGAAAACTGAAGCTGTAATATTAAAGTATGGACTTAATCCAGCCTTTTCTGAGCCATATCACAAAAGCAAACTCATGTGTACATTGTTTTCCCTTTATTCTCTCTTGGTGCCATTTAATATTGCTGTTGCAAAAAAAGGCAGATACGTGAGACTGTCCACACTAAACCTGAATGCTGTTTCATTCCATTTTTCTTCTGCCTTCATTTCTAAATCTTGCTAGGGACTTTCATATTAGTACTTAACTCCTGCTGCTATTTTCAGACATTCCATCCCCAGATCTTCCAAAAATAGGGGAACATTTCCTTCTCCAAACTTTTAAAAGAAGGGTTACCTTCCTCTCTTCTGGGTTACAGCTGCAGCAGTCTCCATCACAGCAAACAGGGGGATCTGACCCGTGATTAGTGGACACGTCAACTCAAAAGAGAAATGTAGTTTTGGTCCATTTTTTTAACACAAAATTACACAGAAAGCAGCTTTTACTAATTCAGCATTACTGCCAGCGATTCTGTAGGCATTCTTTCATACAGAAAAGAGAAACTCATTAAATCTGTTAGAGATAAGAAATTAGAGCATGTTACCTAAAATACAAAAGCAGCTTTCAGTTAAATAATAAAATCCATGGTCCTGTTGAGAAGCAAAAAAACTCCTCAAGGATGATAGCAGAAATGTGCTCCTTGAGATGGTCCCTCCATCTCTTTTTTGCTGTTTGTTTTGGAAGCCATACATTTATGATCTTAGCCAATTTCTAATGCATGATCTTAACCAAAGGTGGCTATAGCCATGATGAAAGCATGCAACAGAAGGACTGGAGGATATACATCTGTGCAACCACATTATGCGATGTGGACACATTCACTGCACTGGCTGAAGCTAACAGGAGAAGGATGGGAAGGGGAGAAACGCCCTGCAGTAAGTCTCTGCCAGCTAATTTTTTTAAAACAACTTTATCAGACATCTACAAAAAAAGTCAAGTGTCAAACAATGAAAACTACTATTTGACAGAAGCTATTTGTGACCACATGGTACACAATTTCCTCATTTAAAAAACACTGAAAAATCTGTTTCATTGCATTATTGCTCTCCTGCCAGCAGGGGACAGGAATAAACTAATACAACATGAGGGTTTAAATTAGAGTCAAACACATAGGAGAAAATGACAACATAGACACAACATGAGAACGCACAAATGATTCAAGGAAGGTAAAGAAGTATTTTTGGAAGGCACAAAGCAATGTTAAATTTTGCACATTAAAAAAAGGTACAGGGCAGGGATTACTATTCTTGTATTTACACACTGATGCAGACAATACTGAGAGAAGAATGACAACAGGACATAATGGGTCAAAGAATTTCTCTCCAGCATGCTACTTTTATGTACTCTACTGAAGTCACAGTTACATAATGTAGATGTGTGAGTTTGAAAATAAAATGCACTAACTCTGAAGTAGTTAAGTGCATTAATTGGCCATCCACTAATCACTTTTGTAACTATGCTTTAAACTGTGTCAAAATCTGACATACTTTTCAGCAGCAAGAAAGTCAGCAGGCATCTTCCTAATGGAAACTGTTCTTTTCAGTCAATTCCATGGTACACAATCAGCAGGACTCATACACATATATATGCCAGCAGAGGGCTATATGTAAGTTCATCATGGATCAAGAAGGGCTTGATGTCTGGTAATAACAAAGCTATTTACTGCTTCTAAACCTGCAAGGCGTGACTGGGGTCAGCTCACTACTTTACCTAGTTTTATGGGGGGAACCTTGTAACTCTAGAAAAGTAATTCTTAGTGCACTTCCTTCTTAAGAGAATTTCTACTGTTGCTCAGATGGTGGCCTCCTCACTCACAGCACCCAGACCAGTGACAGACATGGACAGGTACTTGGTTCCTGCTAACAGTGGTCCTAATCCCTTTTGCTTTCCATAAACATTGGGAGAATAGAAATATGCTCTCTCTCAGCAGGCAGCTGATAACACCATTTCTAACCACACTGGCTTATTGCAGGAGAGCCAAACCACACCTACAGATATGTTGAAAGAAATCGCTTAGAGTGCAATTCTATTAAAACCTATTAAATAAACAGAAATCATGGTGCCAGGGTAGAGCACAGAACAACACAATGGATAATAGTCAAGTACAGCCTGATTTATGTAAATGCAAGAAACCACAACTCCATCCTCTGCTATACTCAAAATCTCAAGAAATCCAATCAGTTCAACAAGTAGCAACGGGCAAAAAAAGTGCATGTGGAAGCAGGTACAACAGATACCCCTTTAAACAGAGAACTTAACAACAATCACTTAGTCTTAATGATTTAACCATTAGTTTCTTCAGAGGAAAGTACCTTTCTAGTGCTTCAGCTGTAACAGAAGAGCAAGTAACATTTCTGAATGCTATTACAACAGCACACAAACCTGTTTCTGTAAACCACGAAGAGGTAGAATTTGGGTTGACAGTCTCAAACTTTACCACCTGGTTGAAGTCTTTTCCTCTGCTGACACCGACACAAACTAAAGGGAATTCCTGCTCAGGGACTACCAGCATTTCAAACAATCTCAGTGGACAAGGTACAGGAAAATCTATGTGCTAGATTAAGAAACAAAAATAGATATTAGACAGGAAACCAGTTTAGTCTAAGTTGCTATTAGCTATTTAAACTGTATGGTAAATTTTATGTCATACATTTTGTAACATTAAGTTTACTTCTTCAGACAACAGTAATTGATACATACAAAAAGCCTGCGTTAAGAAGTTTAGAAAGTCTTCATGCCAATTCAGTTAAAATAAGACGGGATGTCTTTCATCATATATGTCCTGTACAGCTGTCTACAGATGACAAGAGTGCTATACCCATCATTGCTCTCCCCAGCTATGGAGTCTCTAAGTCCTGTTTCCCAGGCTGAACAAGTTATAGCAGCTGCCTCTACAAATGTAAGTCCAACCTGGCTCCGTCTTCAGGTGGTGTCAGATGGGGAGATAACAAGTATTTCTGAGCACCTCCAGTGTCACAAAGCAGTGGCCACCTTCTCTCTAGTATGGGAGCAAGCCCTCTGTTAACCCATGTTATCACTCCACTCCACCATGTCTCAATCCATCAGCCAGAGTTTTTTTATTGTGCAACTAAAAGGCAATGCTCACGGAGAGAAGGGCTTTGTTCTTCAACTGAAGCACACCACAAAACCAAGAACATTCCTATAAATATTTTTAGTCAGTTAATACTTGTTACACATTTAAATACCTATTTTCATTGGAATTTAACAGAAACCAAGAGAAAAGTCTAATATCTCAAGAAATGGCTAATATTCTTAACAAGTCATTACAAGATAAATAGAAATTAACATGAGAGTATTTAATCTTATCATAATATTACCTTGATTAACATAAATTTTTGCATTGGTTCAACCCATTCTAACAAAACAATGCTAGACTGTAGTGCTCCACAAAGGTACTTGTGGCCTGTGTAGGGATTCCTCACTGCCAAAAAAAGAGAGGTAGAGTACATTAGTGTACTAAGCAAATACAAATTATAAACAATTTCCAACTAAATAACAGTCCATACACTTTTGGAAAATACCCACCACTGCCACTCTAATCTTTTACATAAGGAAGCTGCTGAAAAGTCAACATCCACACTACGAAAATGGTGACAGTGAGCATACTGGAGCAGGGGCTGCCCTTCCACTGGGCACAGACAGCTAGCAGCTGGTGCCAAATAAGCCGTAATAAACACCACTCTCACAAGAGTCCTGTGGTATGTTTCACCTCTCCAACTCAAAATAAAGTTTTTTGGTTTTTTTATACTGGTAGGTGGGATTTAGTATTTTATATAGTCTTTAAAAAAATAGTTGACTGCATACGTATTTGAAGTATCTTGCTCCACCATGTTGGTTTGCCTAAGCTATCTTCAAATCATCATGAGAAGCTGTTAAGAATGGCTTTTTCTATGACATACAGACAGTTACCCAGCAGGCACTGAACAATCACTGTCACTTGATAACTTCTTAGCTGCCTTCCAAGCACTGTCACAGCAAGTCTGAAATCCAGCTCCATTTTTCTGATGAACACTTCTAGATCAGCAGGAAATTCAGTTTCTTTTACAGTGACATAATTTATTTCCACTCAACTGCTCCTCTTCTATTGTTTGTCAGAACTCAATTAAAAATTGGAAGAGGACAGTAAGGTTGCAAAATTGGGCACTCTGAAACCTGGAGTTTCACAACTTCAGTTCTACAGTATTAACAAAATTTTGCTCCTTAAGCACTGCCAGCATATCCATTACAATGAACAAGCGTTACTTCACACTTTGTACAATTACATCTAAAGACCAGATTTTAAAGTGTAGTAAAGTGACTGTGGGCCATCAGGCAGTTAACACCACAGTTCAGATAAGGAGCTTCCACAATCCAGTACTATCTACATAAGTGAGATACGCTCATGCTACCTTACTGCCAAGGAAATCCACTAGCAATCCCTTGGCACCTTAAACATCAAAGCTTAATTTCATTAATCCAAGTTCCCACTCAACATCAGTCACACTGACTGCAAACTGCAGAAAATAACACTTGGCATGACTGTTAGTAAGGCTGAACTCAGCAGCAGAAACCAAACCCATGCAATTACCAACACCTCTAAGGTGGAGAAACAAGACCAGAAGTTCCCATCTTTTTCTGCCTCCTATGGCACTGCTGCTTCCCCCGGGCCAAAGGGATACCTATCCCAGCAGGAATGGAGGCTCAGGCTGCACATAAGTAGGGCAAGAGAAGGGAATCTATAATTTCTCCCCTGGGACCTGCCTTTTGCAGCTGCCCTTCTTGCCATCATGAATTACCACTTACACCTATCAGGCAAGAAGGACTCCAGGCTTATTAAGCTAAGCTATCTCTGAATGCCACGACAGCAGACTCCCCCTCATAATGCCAAGTCCCATGGCACTCTTGTTAAATTCTGTGCCTATTAGTACAGAAACCATAAGATTACAAAAGAGTACACCACCAGGTTTCTCATTTCATAGAGATCTAAAAACATATGGACTTCCGAATTAATTTTCATGTCAGAAAGCCAGCATTGGTACCTACTCTGATCCCTGTCACTCCACCCCTTCAGGTGTTCCCTTCAGCATCCATTAACACTCACAGCTTCACTAGATGCCTCAATTAGGGCAAGACCTGGACATGCACAATACATATCATTAACACCCTACCACACCCTAGAGAATTTGTATCCCAGAAAAAGTCAAGCTTTAACAGGTGAGCTGGACAAAGAAGTGATAAAAAAAAAAAAAATCAGACCTTTCAGCAATATTGGGGAGATTTTCGTCAGGATAAATGACAGGTGCTCACTTACCACTGAGTCTCTGAAAATCTCCTGTATAATACAACTCCTCACACCAAACATCTGATTATGGAACACCAGGTAAAACATTTCCAGGTACAAGAGCCTGACCCCAAGAGATCATCCATAGCTATTTTTCCTGTTTGGTTTTTTTGTTTGTTTGTTTTAATTTATCTGCCCCCATCCCTCTTTTAAAACATGTCTTAACACAGTACAGCTTTGACACTTGGAACACACTATAAAGGCTTCAGAGACAACGCTGTCCTCAAAGAATTGAAAATACTCCTTGCTTTTTATCATCCAATATTGGTAACTGGAACTTGTGCTAGGAAGTCAGGCTACTTAAGCCTGATGGTAACTTCTTCAAGTTACTCCATCCATGGAGATTACGTTCTTCCTGCAGGCTGGTTTAGATTTGACATTCTGCTTCTCCACATTTCTTGAGAATTGTCTTTAAATATAAAGAGTGTAATGAGAAAGCTTTCACTGCTCAAATGCAAGGACTAACCTGAATGAGCTCACTGTCTGCAAATGCATAGTTTTGTAATAATGACAAAAGTCTCTTCTCCCTTTACCTCCTAAACCTGACTCAGTAATCTTAATACTGCCACCATTTGTACTGCTTCTTGGCATTTATTCTGCAGATCTTTACTTACCAACACAACACTTCTGACACCATTTAGTATCAGGAATTTTTGTAGACACTGCAAACTTCCTACAAGATATAAAACACAGAATTATTGATCAACTAAAACAATTGAATTAATTTGCTTTTTAGAGTTGTTGATGGGAAAATTATATTTGCCCCCAGAAAAATAAAAATATATTTATTTGTATATTTCTTCTCAAAATGATATGCCTAGAACATACATGGTGATCGCTCTGTTAGCGCTGAGATCCTGCTCAGTTCTGCACCATTATAAATGCAGTTAAAAGTGAGGAATGGAGAGGAATAGGTACCTCAATACCTTCAAGCATCATTTACCACTCTCTCTCGCTATTTAATTATATGTATTTATACACATGCCTGGATAGTCTATTAGTACTCCCATGATCATTCTTTCTTGTAATGCTGTAACTTATTGCATCTTGTGCTGGATACTACACAGACAACAAAGTCCACTCTCGTCCCAAGGACATTTTAGGCCTAAGACACGACACATGGACCCAAGAGGTGTAGGAAATGGTGCCGTACCGGATCGCTTGCTGGGCCACAGTTCTTGCAAACTAACAGCTTAAGTTTTGCTAAACTTTTCATAGGCAGCACAGCATGTGTTTCAAGAGGAGGTCTGAAGGAAGACTGGAAGGCAGCTTTGCAAGAACTTCTCATGTGCAGGGGCTGCTCCCTGAGAAATCGTGAAAACAATTACTTGAAAATTTATCAGATAAGCCAGGGAAGATGTTATTTGCTGGTAATGGGAATCAGTGTTTCTACACAGACTAGAAGATGACAGACAGTATGGAGATAGGCCACAGTAGCCTTGACAGTAAAAATAACTAATGTGATGCTGTAGAAAAGATGGGAATAAGTAGAGTGATAGATGCTGCAAAGCTATGAATTGGGAAAATACTTGGATAGCATTTCAAATGAAGCTGTCCAGAAGGGACTGCTAATACACAGCAGGACTGAGCAGCATGAAAACTGAGTCCTGGCCACAAATTTTGGTTGGAAGTAGTCACGGAAGGAACTGCTCAAGGACACTCAAGGGAAACAAGCTGGAAAGGAGACTTATCACAGCTATATTTTTTGCTACTGAATGTTTGCCTACCAAGTATCATAAATTGAACTTAGACCATTTTGCAGATGAATATATGAACCTTACATATTACTCTGAATTCTACTTTGCTTTGCATTTTCTCTACCGAAAACTTCGCTTTTAACATATCTACATTTTTCATGTAGCACCCTTCATCATGGTATTCAGGGACTTGCTGAAGAATACACTTTGTGGTCTGGTAGAAAAAAAAATTATGCTCTTCTACATACTTCAAATGTACTACTTCTGCCTGGCTAAATGTTCCTACCTTGATGCCTCACAGCAAGGGATAAAACAGCAAAATGGATTATCTACATGACTCTGTCCTGCCTTGACTGGCTTGGCACTCATACATTCAGGTTGTACTGCATTTTTCTTGGGAATTGACATGACTGGACAAGAAATTTTCTGAGCCCTCTGCAACTCAGATGAGGTGTTAATTCCACACTGAAGGTAGTCTGAAGGTTTTCCTCACATGATCCTTATGATAATTATGGTTGTTAGTCCACAGCTGATGCCGTTCTCAAGCCAAAGTCACCCAGCCAAAGTTAGTTTGGAAGAGAGAAGAACAGAACAGTGGTGCAGGCACACATAAGACAACGATTCAAAGCACAAGTTATGTCTCAGGTAATTAGAATTTAGCCTCTAGGAGAAACACAATTTTCAGACAAGTGTTGCACCATTATGTTTGCAGGTGACTGAACAAGAAGCCTTTCCTGAATCCAAGAATTAAATGTTAATAGGCTGCTAATAAACCAAAGGTAGCAGAGAATCAGGTCTTCTATAATACAGCTTCCTAACAGAAAGCCTATTATATGAGAAGAACCAGTGATTCATTATGCACTTTAAGAATCAAAGGTTTCTCTGCAAACTATATTAGGGTTACTACCTCCTCCTCTTGGATCTGAATGGGCTCCTAGGGCTTGTTTGGCAGCCAGCACTGTACCCAGTCTCTGGGATTCTGTATGTGCTTGTTAGTAAAGTTGGAGGGACTACATGCACAATGTGCTGTAGGCATCTGCGGACAAAAGTACCTCCTACACTAGCGTGCAAAAAATGACTAGCCAATGATGAATGTCAAATCTGTACTCCAGTGCTACTTTTCCCAGCTTTCAAAATAACCAATGAGCCCCATACCCTCTGCAGTAAGAGGTTACACATCCCTGCTTTTTTTTTTTTTTTTTTAAATAGAATGGAAAGACAGTGCCCAGAGTAACTAATGTAAGATCACCATTTGTATTTGCCTGAAATATCACAGGTACAATACTAACCCTAGATTTTGTTTAGCATCAAGTACAACCAGGATTTACCATACTAGACTATAGCTGAAAAGACCTATGCCCAGAAACAAAAGGCTTCACGACAAGAAGGTAAGATGTACCAAAACCCATTTCTCTAATATGAGGATATTCACATCTTGATTTGTGTAAATTTATGGGTCTACCCTCTGATTAGTGCCCATATGAGTTATTCATGGCGATCTGTGAACAGAGCTCCACATTATTTGGTATCCCCAGAGTTTCACAAGCATATCCTGAACTCCCAGGATTAAGATATTCTGATATCTCTGATGACATGTATTTACCTGGGAAGTATTCGGTCAGGGAGTTTATGTGCTGGAATAGCAACGGGTAACTTTTGCATTTGCCTTGCATAATCAAAGAGTCCTGGTAGATTATGGGAATAAAGCTGAGAAGCTTTACCTGGAAATTAGAAAACAAAAACACACTTCAAATACGAAACCAAATGTTTACCAGCACTAACCACTCAAAGTTAGCACAGTAACTTACCAGATATTGATAACAAGCAATTGTTCATGACATATAACCATGTACACCTTCGAGGAAATAGCTGATAAAGGGAAGGAAAAACAAAGAAAGAAAAGCATTCAATTTGATATACACAAAATGTGAGCACATTAAGTCAATCAATTAATATCTGCATAGATGACAGGACCAAACTAATATTGACTTGCTTTTTGTAGCAGAAATTAGCTTAAGCCAAGTAATGTTCACCTGGATTCCAGAGTTAATTCTGAGTAAATCTTAGGCACACACATTATATTTAACATACACATTAACATTTAGACAATTAGCATATTTTATATTCATGTCTTCAAGTATACTATAATTAGCCCGCAAGACGTCATTATAAAGATCAATCAATTTTCAAAAACTTTATAAACCATCGACCTTTTTCTTTCAAAGGAGAAAAGCATAACAACATAAACTTCAGTAAACAAAGCACAGTCAACAAACAATAACCATTCTAAAGCCTGCGACAGTCCGTATCTCTTGAAACAATTAAAACTGGCACTCGAAGGGACTCTCCACCTGCATATGATTACACATTTCACTTAACTGATCAAGGAATGCAACAGACTGTCAAGGCAGAATTGTTATTTGTCAAATCCCACAATTACTATAAAGATGGGACTGAAACCAACAAGACATCCTTTAAAAAAAAACCAAAAATGATAAATTAAAAAAAAAGGTACTTCTTCCCCCTCTCACAATTTCTGGAGCTTGTTGCCACAAGAGGTCATGGAGGCAGAAAGTATCAACAGCATGTACGAGGGATTAGATACTCATGTCCAACAGGTCCATAAATGGACACAAAAACAAATAGGCAGGGATCCTCCAACATCCCCAATTCAATGACTGTAGTGGACTTGGAAGAGAACAGGCAGCAGACAGTGGTAAAGCTCTTGGGCATTTCCTACTGCCACTTTAGAAAATAGGTTACTGGGCTAGACAGACTCAGGGGGACATTTCTTTTGTTGCTCTGAAAAAAAAACCAAAAACCAAACAAAAAAACCCACCAAACCAAAACTCTGCCCCCCCCAAACCACCAAACAAAAAAACCTCATGAAACCAGAACAAAAACAAAACAAAACAAAAAACACCCACAACAAACCACCTCACTGCTGGTTTATTAGAAAGATTTGAAGAGATCTGTAAATTAATTGAAACGTTTTTCTGCCAAAGAGCAAGAGATTCATCTTGATGCTGTGCTAACTCCTGCAAACACGTTATTTCTGCTTTGTCCGTTACTGAAATAGAACGTAGTGAAAAATGACAAGGATGCTACTTTTGCTTTTACACTGAATTGTATGAGACCTAGAGAGTAAACAATGAAGTGAAACACAGAACCTGAAAATGTTATTAAAGCCCTATTGCCTTATATCATAAATAACGATGTAATAAATGATTAGCACAGAGGGTGCACTTCTATTCCTGAAGTCTTCTCATAACCTAAACACACTAAGAAAAACCTACGGTAATAATCCACCAGCCTGGCTGTATCCAAATGTAATGTGCAAGTTTGATTGATCTTCTGTAGCTGCATAAGCATATTGTGACTTAGTAGATTTGGATCTGAGGATTAGAGAAGAATAGCAATATTCAAATTTGCAGGTTGATTGACCTGTCACTCATTCCTCCCATTCCACACATGACTGGCTGTTTTTACAAGCATCTCTTCTCATCTCTAAGTGCTTATTAAAACATTTCCCTACAAGCTCACTAGGCAATGCACTACAGAACATGGTGCTTAGAAAAAATGAGGACGGATATGAGAGCATGAGTTTCATTACACCTATTCTCCTTGCCAATTTAAAAAAACCCACCAAACAAAACCAAAAGAAAAAACGAAACAAAACTCTTGTTGGTCTTCCTGGCCTACAAGAATTACTGTATTAGTGATACTTGTCAGGGTAGGTTTCACAACTGCGGTGTAGCAGCAGAGCGGTACCTGAGCTAAGTTTTAACTAGCTAACTCAAGCACCAGTATGATTATGAGTTACACAGAGCTCAGGGCATGCTATCTAGGCCACCTTCTCAACACAACAGACATATCTACAACGTCTGGACCCTGGAAGATGAACAAACACCAGTGCCTCCAGCTTACAGTGTGAAGGCTGTCCTTGCAAATTCCTCCATCTTGATGGCAGATGCATAGCTCCCTAAGTTAGGGAGAAGGCAGGAAAGAAAACAAGTCTCCTAGAGATTAACAAAAGAGCTGGAGAAGACTCCACACAGAAAAGCCTGCAACTGGCATTTCCCCCTCCCCAGTATCCCCTCAGAAAAATTACTATTTATAAGATTCTGCAAAGACAGTTTTAATTGGCATTCAGTAAGCTGAGTCTCATCAGCAAAGCTGCTTTTAAGACCAAAAGAATGGAATCTAGCATATAAAGAATCTCCTTGCTTCCCTGTAGCTGAAACACAACATTTGTTGCAAATATTCTGTCTTGTAACACAGCTTTAAAGAAAATAGAAACTTTAATCAAAAATATATCAGGGAAATTCCATACTATTTAACAAATCATTTAAATGCAGGACAATGCACTATGATGAAGTTCAACACATCGATATACGCAGATCTCCTACGTAAACATGGTTCAGCCTACAAAAAACTTAACTTGACTGAAAGGTATCCTCAATAGTAAACATTTAAGGTAATTCTCAGTGTAGCTAGTGCCTATGTAACTGTAGTAAAGACAATTTTTACAAGGATTATACAACATTAATCTGAGTGGCTAAAAAAAGTGACAAAGATCTACTTTTTTCCAGAATATCAAAACAGAAATATACCTGCTCCATTGATGTTTCATGAAGTTCATTGAGGTTCAGTGTGTAAATACCTTCTTCTGCACCAAATATCAAGTACTGATCTGCAAACACAAACAAGCCCAAAAAATCTAGAAATCCTGATTTAAGAAGGGTGCATTTTATAAGAGTATGCAGCTCTTCACAAAATACAGACTTAAAACAACTACATACATTGAAACAAACCAACCTATAATAGTCATGGTATCTGAAAGCATGGAAAATTAACCTTCCTAAGGAAGCTTAAATTTGTGGATGGGGCTGGTTTAAGACATTAGGAAAGATCAGTCTTTTTTTTTGTGACTGACAACTGGAATAAAAAACAGCAGTGATACAACCATAAGCAAGAATTCATGTCAATAATTTCCTCATGTATGGATTATCCTACTTAGACATTTCCATGTAATTTGTGACATATTCATAGCCTTCTTCTGGAGTACTTCAACAGCAGTACTGACTAGAACATTTTCTCAGTACTTTGGGGACGCCTCACTTCTTCAATATAATTAATACCCTGGATTGCTTTTAGGCGTGCGAACAAGACAGACATCTCATATTGAGATGATGTCAACTGCAAAAGATTTGACTTCTTTAATGTCAGTTTCTAAAAAACCTAAGTATTTTCTTGCTTAGGGGCTCAGTAGCACGTCTATACAGCCTATAATCAGAAGGTGAAATTGCATGCAACGAGAGTACAATGTTACCAATTATCCCTTTTATCAGGCTATATAATAAAGCACTAAAATAAACCTGTAGGACCAGAAAGATTGGCAGGGGGCAAATAGAGTGAGTGATAAAGAAATCAATCTCAACTAGGACATCCAGAAGGCAGATTTAAAAAAAAAAAAATTAGGATTGGCATCTTTTAGACGAAAATGTTGATAAGAGTCTTGAATCAAAACAAAAAATTATGGTTTTTTTACCTTTAATATGTAATTTATTCTTTTTAATCAAAGCTGAAAACTGCACCCCACGTATCTTAACATAATTAAAAAAACCCATTGAATTTCAGACAGCAGTGGCACAATTAAAGAAGAACTGCTTATATCAATAAATGTATTTTACAATATGTCTATTTTAAAAGGAATAGTCTTGCTCATTTAAGCACTCTTGAAATCTGAGGAGAGGACAATATGGGTAAAATATGCATAATATACTACCTCTTGTATCTGGATTTATCCATGATGTTGCACAATGAATTTTTAATGGACAGCCATTGAAAACCTTTGAAAAGCAAGCACCCATCTGTAGAAGTAAAAGCAATTAAAAATATACATATGAAAAATGAAAATGTGACATTCTCAATAGGATGATTTTTACTTGTCCTGGTTTCAGCTGGGATAGACTTAATTGTCTTCCTAGTAGCTGGCATAGTGCTATGTTTTTGAGTTTGGTATGAGAAGAATGTTGGTAACACTGATGTTTTCAGCTGTTGCTAAGTAACATTTAATCTAAAGTCAAGGATTTTTCAGCTTCTGATGCCCAGCCAGCAAGAAGGCTGGAGGGGCACAAGAAGTTGGAAGGGGACACAGCCAGGGCAGCTGATCCAAACTGGCCAACAGGCTATTCCATACCATGTGATGTCACACCCAGTATATAAACTGGGGGAGTTGGCCTGGGGGGAATCGCCACTCGGGGACCAGTTGGCAGGTGGTAAGCAATTGCATTGTGCATCACTTGTATATTCCAATCCTTTTATTATTACTACTGTCATTTTATTAGTGTTATCATTATTAGTTTCTGCTTTTCTGTTCTATTAAACTGTACTTATCTCAACCCACGAGTTTTACTCCTCCCCCCCCCCCCCAATTCTCTCCCCCATCCCACTGGGTGGGTGGGAAGCGAGTGAGCAGCTGCACGGTGCTTAGTTGCTGGCTGGGGTTAAACCACAACATTACTTAAAGTAGTAACAAAAGGTTAAGAGTAGTTTCATTTGCCATGTGGAAAATAACCTCATCCAGACAAGCTGATAAAAGGATTTTTTTTTTAAAGTGATTTTTTTTCTTTGTGTGTAAGACTTTCCTGAACAAACATACCAGAATTAGCATTTCAGAATTAGCTCCTAAATTAACAGTCTAAGCACATACTTACTACAAAGCTGACAAACCTGAAAAAGGTTCCTGAATTTCATGACTTTAGTAAGTCTCAACAGAGAAACTTTATTGTTGCCATATTCCACACACTTAAAATAAAACTCTAGGTCATGCAACAATCACAATCTTAAGTCTCAGATTTTCTATTAGTTGTTTCAAATTAACTTATTTTCAATATTGTTTGCTTCCTAAAGGGAGTCCTCTGGTAGAAGATCCCACTCCTTGTTCAGCATAACCCTTATAAACTCAGTTTGCCTATTAAGCAAGCGTCTCGCATAGTATAATATAATCAACTTCTCCACCTTCCCCCTAGTGAAGTGTAACCATTTGTAGGCATTTATAATGTGTACTAAAATTTGCTTCAAGATGACAGAAAAGCAAAAGCCAGGGCTTCCTCCTTTCCCCTCAAGCATCAACATAATAATTACCCATCCTATTTGGGGTACCAGCTGATCAATAGTACTGTAGATGAAAAGGAATGATGCAGTAGTAACCAACAATTAGTAAAGTGAAATGTTATCATTTATCAAATGATGGTCAAACATAAGGACCAGACACAGGTAAGGGTTGTCATCTTGAATATAAGCAGGTATCACCTTTACGCAAAGCTACATACTCTGCAATACAGCTACAGAATGGCAATGTTTTCACTTTATATTAATACTTTGTGAATTATTATCAATCTATAAACTGAGTTAACGAAATAGCTCTTGTGTTAACATTTGGGCAAATTTTTTTTTTTGTTAACCTGTTGCTGAATAAGAAAGTCTGCACACATTTCAGTCACTTCTGAACATAGTTTAGTTTAATAAGAAAAGAAAAAGAACTTCATAATTAACCCTTTAAAATGAAAAAGAGCAGAAATTAGACCCTTCTTCGTGCTTTGGACATCTCTCACTCTTGGATCACTATCAGGAAGTCCATGAGCTTGTCTGAATATACTTATGTGAGGGAAGAATCAAATTCATTGAGGGAATCAGTAAAATCTGAAAGACCCCATTACACAAAGACAAGGGGAAATACTTTAGCACTGCTAGTACCACTGCAGAAGTCTGAGTGCCAAGGCAGGGAGCTGGCTGCTTGCTAGACAATGAGATAGTCCTTCTGCAGGCGTAAGAACAGAAGTAAGAAAAGATACACGTGAGGCAGGAACATGAGAAGATACTGACACAGAGTGACCTCAAGGTACTGACAGCTTCAATATTGTCAAATCCCTCAGCAGCAAGGAGTCTGAAGGAGGGATGGTATCAAGAAAAACAATAAAGGGATGGTTTTGGTGGTTTTATGAAAGCCTGTTTCCAAGTGTGCAGGGCACAAAGACACTCAACAGAAAACACACCAGATGACACTCAAAGCACTGATCTAGAATACTGGTGTTCCTGCTGCTCCTGTAACCAGCTATGCAATTCTCCTTGACCCTTTCCAAGCACTGAAGAGAGATGCTGCACAATGGAGGGAAGCTGTGCTCACTGCTAAGACCTAGTTGAGCTCTGCAGTAATAAGTTGGATAAGAAAGGAGGAGATGGAAATCAGAAGAGACTAATCATTTTCCTCTGGCCATTCTCAGTCCTGATCTCGAGGAAGCCTGCAGAGCCAAGATGCTGCTGCAAATGCCCCAGAAGGGTAAACAGAGCCTGAGGGTATCATCTCTTAATACCAAACGAATCTCAAGGATACAGCTGAAAAATCAGACAAATTATTAAACTGAGTTGCTAGTGGGGGGAAAAAAACCCCCACAAACATGAAATAAAAGGTTGAAGCAAGGCTGCTTGATCTCACTGCTGCCATGGAGGCATTTAAGTCTCAGGGGAATTTCAGCAGGCAAGGCATTCCCTCACTGGTAGGATCTAACAGGTCTCCCTGTGCTACAGGGAAAAACACACTACCAGACTGGGTTATTAAGAAAGTTGAACAAAATCTCTAGAGTCACAGGCAACCATGCATTTTAAACAGAGGCCCAGACCATCTAACTATTTTATAGGACAGCGAGAACACAAAACACTTCTTACCATTTGACAGCATACTTAAGAACGACAGAGCAAAAAAACCCCTAACAAACAAGAATCAGAACAATGATGTCCCACAGAAAAAGAACATAAGAGACTGAAATATTGTCAAAGTTTTACTTGCTGTAGCAGGGTATTTCTTAAAGAAAGCTCCCAGGTGATGTTAGGATGCAAAACATGCTCCACAATAGAGAAAAGTAAAAAGTCCAGTCATCCAAATGACCTGGGAGAAAAACCCCTTCCTTACCCAAATTTTCATTATTTGGTGACTGGAGACAGCAGGCAGAGAGGAACATGTGAAGTGCCAAACAGATCTTCAACCATTAACAGGAAGGTTAGAAAGTTTGTTATACATAAAAGGTGGGGGGTGATAAGGGAAGAGAGGGGAAAGACTTTCTAACCTAAGAACCAGCAGAACCAGAGAATTAGTGCACTACAAAGATGCATGAACATGCAAAGAACAGTCCAATATCCAAAGACTCATTTGATCAGCTTCAGAAGTTTTCCTATTTTAGTCAGTCTCTTGTTACAGCTTCATTATATTAGCAACTCACAGTCATTCCCTGATGGCCTGTCCCTGAAATTTGTGGCAAAAGTTCAACACGTATGACTTCATTTTGAGCTATTCTATTTTTTACTCTTTTTCTCATTCCAGTCACCAAACCTATCTTATTTTCCCCTCCCCACGATGATTCAGGTCTTTTGAATGCTAGGAGTGCTTCCAAATTTCTGTCACCCGCTAGTTTAAAGTATGCACTCCTAGGCCATGCGTTTAGTTTAAAGTTTAGTTTATTAGAACAGGATTGACCTCAATAAACGATGCTAAACATATCAAGAACTCAGAGCTTAAACAATCCTGTGCATTTATGCAAGAGATTACAGTTCTAAGGAACAGAAGTATGACATCTACCTTAACCTGTCCTGCTTCTCTAAAATGGATAGGAAGCAAAAACCAGTATCATTTGCATTTACACACCCTTGTAGCAATTTTATCTTCTTATCTAAAGAAGAGAAACTGATCTGGCTTAGGAGTAGTGCAGCAAAAAGGTTAGTTTAAAAGTCAGATGAATCCCCTATTTGGTGCACAGCTCAATTACATGAATGCATGCTCCAGCACACAAGGAGGAGAGCGGTAAGGGCAGAAACAAACAGCCAAGGAAAGACTGGCTATCAGATCACAGTGCTGGCTAAAAGCACAGTGACAAGTCTGTGCAAGTATTACAATGAAATTCTAGTTTGCTTTATGTTATGAAGGTGCACATGGATATCTAACAGTATTTCCAGCCCTAAGGCATATACGAATCCTATCTTCAGAAGTTTTGAAACTTAGAGCTGCATAGTATAAACTTTGAGGTATCCGCAATTTCTGAGAGGCATTAGCTCCCCAGATCAGCAAGTACCTTCGGTACACTGAAAGTACTTCTGTGACATCAGTCACAGGACTCTCATTCACTTTTTAATGAAGCAAGCAAACAAAAAACCTTCCAAAATTTACTTCAAGAGCACAAAATCAAGAGCAATTTCTGAAATACCATACCTGTGGCTTAACATTTCCAAGACATACTGGCTTTTATATTTAAAAAACCATAAATACTACAAACATTCAAAAAATGTACTCTCTCAGCTTTAGTAAGAAGACTTGTCCTGCTTCCAACATGTATTTGTATGACTCAGTAATACTCACGTGTACTTTGGGTGTGGGAGGAAGGCCATTACTAATTGGTTTCTAGAAAATAAAAGTTTAAAAGTATGTTTACACTCACATGCACACATATGCATGAACGTGCATATTCTCTCCCCACACTGTAGGATAACCAAAATACAAGTCTAAAAAAAACTTTTTTGAATGCTGTTAAAAGCACTTGATAAATAATTGAGCATAATTATATTAGGAGAAAATAACAAGCCAATATTTCTAGCTACATAAGAAATAGATACAAAACTCTCCCTGCAGTTTGTTTTCTTTTTTTTTAAGACAATAGAGTTGTGTTGTATATTTCTACAGTACGCTAAATGGAAGGGACTAGGCACCTACTGGGACACTCTGCTGTGTCCAGCGCCTCATATACTAGATCTGAAAGCCATGGCTAAGCTTTGGCTACAGTCCCATTTTTAAGCATGATGTTAGGCTAGAGACCTCCCTTCCAACCGATGCTTCCATTAATTCTGCACGAGTTTGCTAACTACGTGTCTCTAGTGACCACACACCACAAATTGCCAGTATAATTTTCTTTCATTAAAACCTCTGCTATGATTCCCTAATATCTCCTCATTGAACGTCTGCATTCAATTGGACAGTTTATTGCGCAACATTTCCACATTACAATGATGCCTGAAAGAACGTCATACCCAGCACTACAAAGTTTAAGCAATATTGCAGCAATTGCTCAATTGCTCAATATTACAAGCAGTGTTAAACTCTATCAATCGGTCCTAGACCCACTTCCCTGTATCAGTATCAGTATCAATTTCTCCCAGTAAAACATGCTTCCGACGAAATGTATTTCACAGGTAGTACAGGAAACTTCAAACACACAATTTCAAATGCCAAGTTCAAAGCAGTTCAGGAAATCATAGTTTCTAAAGTACTGCCAGTATTACTGGCACTTCCTTAAAACAAAACAAAAACACACACAATGTTTCTACTCTATTTCCTCTTCACTCCTCTCAGAAGAGCGACATTTCCAACCTCATCCTTAGAAGAAGCCCCCAAAGAATGCAGTTTCATGTTACATTTAATCTGATCTAACTACAGATGTCCCACTCTCTCCCATCTCACATTCCCACTTTTGCATCATAGTAATAGAGTAACCACTCTAGAAGCCATTTGCTGCTTTGATGGAAAAACTCACTTGGAAGAGGAGAAAGGGATGCAGGAATATTCCCTTTCCTCAGCTCACAGCTGGATCTGATTACACGTGGTGTAAAACTGCATTCTCTCCATGAGAACAACTTCACGTAAGTATACATAGCTCAAGTCTGACACTAAACCCAAGCTGCTAGACCTGGAAACCCGGAGCTCTGGAGGCCAGCAGGCAAACAGCTTGCATATCTGGACCCTCAATCTACATTCCTCCACCTTTTTTCCCCCACGAACACCAAAAATCCCATATGCCTACATCTGGGCTAGGAGGACGACTCATTTGGGAACAGCCCTGATTCAGCTCCTTTCCCAGGGCCAACAAAATCCTCCAACAAGCCATCAGGTGGCAGCACATTCCTTAATTTCCTCATTTGCTTAAATAGTCATTGCTCAGTTCAACACATTACATCTCTCTCACAGGATCTTGTTCTCATTACGTCTCTCAAGCATGTGAATACAAGCAAGTAAATCTTGTATATCCACATTTATGTTAGTTTCTAATGAAAATTAAATACCGACTCAAACTTCAGCTTAAGACTGTATCACAACTATAGGATCTAGCAAAACTGTGCTTTAAGTCAAAGTAAACAAGATGCCACCCAGGAAAATTCCTAAAGAGCGTGCCTGCTCCTCTTCATTGAGCATGTTAAACAGTTGAGACAACTTTAAAACAACACCTAGAAGCTTAAATACCTACCAGTATTTCCTTCTTTTCTTTCCTTGAAAAAGTAGTGTCTCTAGCTTCATTCTGTTGATGTGGTGATCCCTCTCTTTCACCATTTAATTGTACAGAAGTGACTCCATTACCTAGAAAGATTCATATTTAGAAATGTGTTCTTCTACCTTCAACTCAAAGAGTAGTCTAGCCTAAAAACAAATTTGAAGGTAATAAACATAACAAATCTAATGTGGGCATAGAAAGGGATGCAGTCACAGTTATGAGGCAAAATGTATTTAACACATCTAAAGAAAAACTTCGCTACAGCTAATGCTTCAATTACCGATTCTTTATAAATAGCCTTGAGGCACTTCTTAGCACTGGATGCTTAAGCATTACAGTCAAATCTGCAACTGCAGTACTAAATATGTAGCAAGGCAGACCTAGCAAGATAGCAATCAAGAGTTAGACATTAAGCTCGCTTAAAACAAGCCAGTCCAGGACAACTCTCAAACCGTGAGGCTTTAACAAAAGCATAAAAGGAACAGCCTGAGCAAACAGTAAATACACAGTTACCTGCTATACCACCCAACTCAGTTCACTACATATAAAGGCAAACTTTGAAAGCAAAACTCTATTCTTGACGCATCAAATAACAACAACATTTGACACACAGGGCCAGAATCTGAAACCTATATACAGGAAAACTTTTTTATACCCTGTGACAATCCTGATACACTACATTATAGGCCTGCTGCTTCGAAAAGCAACTGTCACCAATGGCATCAGTAGGAATCATGTCAGTGACTTTCCTAGAAGGTACATTTGACTCTCTTAAGAGTCTAAGCATGCTTTCTTCGTGCATTTTGGCTTTCACGCACTTTGTTACTTGCCCACCAAAGAAAAATTACCACAGTACATTTTAATGTGCGCATAGGTGAGGATGTAGAAATAAAATCACATTAGATTATTTAAGAAATATTTGTATACTTCTTGGTGTCACTTTTATTACCTAAAGCATTAGATTTCTGTGGAGGTAACCGAGGAGGTGGCGGTCTGGGTGGAACCTGAGATGCAGATTTTGCTGGACTCTCTGATGTTGGGCATCTCTTGATTGTCCCTTGATTATCATTTTCAGAAGGATGTGTTTCTTGGGGGATAAAGATGGATTTAGGCTGAAAAAGACACAGCAATAATAAAAACATAATGAAAAAAGATTCAAAGCATCCATGCTACTTCTCAATGAGGGAAAAAACCCAAAACACGTGCAGTATTTGGATCCTGGAATTTTCACAAGTAAATTGGTAAAGCAACTTGTTCTGCCATGCAAATTTCTTTCAAAAAACAAACTAGAAGGAAATGCATAGCAATAAGGAAAACCTTGTTATCAACAAAGGATGAATTCAAAATCATTATATTCAAGTCATGCATTAAACAATTATCGGGCATGTGAAAATGTCACTGTTTATGACTACAGATAACCAAACCAGACATTCAAGTAGAAACTAGGGAACATTCAATGATATGGCCAGAACTTTGTTTAAAGAATCCCAAACAGGGCATGTAACCACATAGAGCAATGTAGTTGAGACAGTGGCTGCACTAAATGCTGCTTGTAAAATGCTTCTCAGTTATGCAAAGATAGTTAGTGCAGGAGGGTAAATAATCATACCTGCAGTTTTTGCCTGGGGAACTGACAGTCAGACAAAAAAAGTGAGGTTTTTTTCTTTTGCTTTTTGCTCATATTAAGATAACTTCAGTGTGGAAAGACTGACTTACTCTTCAAGTGGCAGCATGCAAAACCTAATCTGATCCAGGCATGCCTCTGAAGAGCAATCAGACATCAAAAGTTAGCAAGCAGATGCTTTATTCGGCAGTTCTTTATTAAAAATGACTTGCAGAACTAAATTTTTTTAACTACCCAATTTATTCCTTCCGAAGTATCAGAAGTGCAATTAGTCAGAAACAGCACTTTCACACTGACAAACACCCTACAGTGCAAGACTTCATGCAGATTTGCAATTAAAGGCTACAAACATACAGGTCAACCCCCTGGATATACCCTTGACTTAAAACTTGATTCAAGTCTTCAAGTCATGGCACAAGTAAGAGAATCATCAGTATATTAATTTAGACACTTCTGCATTCATTTATTTATTTAAAGTGCCCTTTTATTCTGGGCAACAAAATCCCCCTCACTTACCTTTGGGGGTAAAGGAGGTGGCACTTTAGGTTTCATAGTAGCACTATAAAGAAAAGCAAACAGATTGTTATCCAGTGTAGCTCTTTGAACCTTGTATTGCAGTGTTCAAGAAAATACAGAATTTTATAAATGCCATACAAATACACACCATTAACTTGTCAACAGCACTATTACATCCAAATAACTGCATCACAAATACTTTCAAACATTTTGTTATTGCTGTGCATACCACAGATCCTCCCTAGAGAGCACAAAGCGACACCATCTGATTTGTTGAAGAGGCACATACTTGTGCAGAAAAAAGTAGGGAGATGCAGATCAGGCCTCATATTTACTCTGTTGAAAGGAAAAAGATTTAGGATATCAGTGAGTGTTTTTTAAAGGGCCATCTGTAGGTATACAGGGCAAAGGGGAGTTACAAGAAAACTGATGAATACCATCCCTTGAGAAATTTACTGCTGACTTCTTGAGAAAGCCTTACACATGAAAGCAAAAATCCATCTGCAATGGACAGCTAGCCTACTGTCTGGGTTGTTTTGGTTTTTTCCATGAGTTTCTTTTTTTCACAGAAATCTTGGGAAAGACAACTTTGTAACGCAAGAACACTTCAATGGCTTGGCTCAACGGTACAAGATATCAGCATCAAACAAGAAATCTGAAGCATCAGGAGCATTCTTCCTCTGCTGGTTCTGTGTTTTAAAGAATATGCTGCATTTAAAAAAAATAAATCCTAAATTCCTAAATTTTTTATATTTCTAAAAACTCTTACACTGTCCTGTTTCCTAATCTTTTGGAACAGAAAATTATTTCCATTAAATAAATTAGGAATACAGCTGTGAAAACTTGACATTCTTGCACAATATTTTCCTTACTTTTAAATTATGTTCCAAAGTTTTGGGAAAATATTCAAGTAGTAAGATATCTATTTGCTTGTTTACAGATCAACAACTTGTCTGCTTTGCTTCATTCTTTTCAGGAGTTTCTGTCCTGGCATATTATCAGTTGCTTTTATTTCAGAGAAGCTGGAAGGGGACTTCCAAGAATGGGTTACCCTGTTGTGCACTTCAGCTGCTATGGTGGTGGAGATTATCTTCTCTTCATGACATGGGACCAAGCTTAAGTCCTCAGTCATGTGTGTCCAAGCTTCATTTGTATTTTCTTTCATATTCTTCCCTGCATCTCGGACAGCCATCACAGTGTTACTGGGCAGCCAAACGTAAAAAACAAAGCCAATGATTTGGCATAAATGTGACAGATGTTTATACAAGGGACTGTGTGCCCTGGTTTCAACAGCAAGGTTTATGTGCAATTTGTCACTGCTGATCACGCAGGTCAGTGCCCCAATAATTCCTGCATTCCCAGCTTCCATAACCAGGAAGTTCAAGCATCATCAGCTTTGCTGCACATGAGAAAAAGAAATATCAAAACAATAAAAATTATTAAATGGAGATAATTTTATATTGTTCCCTGAAGTGTGTGGATTCTCTGCTGCTATGAATCACCCAGCTTCAGAGTCATGCAGTGGCATCAGTTTGGACTGGACAGCATACAGCCGCTTCATTATTTTGTTCTGGATCCGAAGGGAGAAGTGACCGGTGTCACATGTGCTCTTCAATTGCAGCTCCATCTCACAGAATATAAAATCAAACAAAAGCCTTGAATCTTCAGTGGGCTCCAGAGAAAAATATCTGAGACCAAGCTGATGAACCAACATATTGCAGCAGAGCTCTGGGCTCAAGGAGATACCAAGAGGAAAGGCAGAGATGCAGAATCTGTCTGATCCAAGGTTGAGGCATTCAAGGCCTACTCCTGTGCTTTCAGGAAATTGTCAGGCCCTCTCTGTACAGCAAGAGTACCTAGGATGAAATACGGAAAGAAGCAAAAAACACCAGGACTTCCTTGGAAGGCCACTGGTGACTGTCCTTAGGGTCAGATGAACTGGAACCTCTCTGGAAGCTATCAGGTTCTTTCTTGCTTGACCTGAAAAAGAAAACCCACAGAAATACAACAGCGACAGAAGCAGCTGAAGCCAATGCTGTCTAAAAGTTCTGATGGAGCTTGTGGAAGGAATAAGGATCTCAAAGCACTGGACAAAGAAATCAGTGCAAGCACTTCAAGACAGCAGGAGTCAAGGGGTTCCAACCCCTGGAACATTACTGAATTTGATGATACTGGCTGCAGAGCAATGGGGGGGGTGTGTGTGGCAGAAACATTAAGCAAAAATGAACAGACACAGAGCGGTACACAAAAAACATCCAGAAATTAGTATGGATGGAGGAACCAAGCTGAGCTGGCTTGCAGCAGCGCAGATATCCAGTACATCTTCACTGAAGGCCATGAGAGTGGAGCTGACCGTATGGAGTTATAGGGGACTGTTACATCCTACAGGCCAGGAAGCCCGAGTTACCATTACCAAGGTCTATCCAGCTATGAGCAAAGTGGGTTCTCAGCTTGGTCCAAATGCAGGGAAGCAAATAAATGAGTAGCATTATCAATCTCTTCCTCTCAAAGACAAGACACAGGAGCTTCATATTATTGATGAACTGTGTAATCAATCATGCCTTTAATCAACCACTTAAGAAATCCTTCATATTTCATTATTAAGGAATTAGCAAGGGAATAAAGCCTGCTAAAAACTGACTAAAAATAATTCTTCTTCTATAAATATCACTTGTGTCAAACACCAAACATAATTGTGTTTTGAGAAGTTGATCATGAAACAATGCAAGCTTAATGTACTTGTCACCTAGCCGACATCAGACACTATCAGTAGCTTTACCCTTCTTGAAGGGGGCTGTTCTTCATGTTCATTACAGTGATAAAAACCACTGCCTTTGTTATAAAAGAACAACAGTAAAATAACTCAAGAAAAAAAAGAGAGAGAGAGATTTGGTTCTCTGTAAAGATATAGATGCCAGCAATAGATAACACGTTTTACAGGTTTCTGGTATGAAGAAACAGCTTTCAAAATTATCCATTAACAGTAAGTAAACAAGAATGCTGTCTCAATGCCATCTTTCTTTTTGGTCTTTACATCAGTTTTATTTAGGAATGTAAATTTCCACATACTGGCTGTGCATTTTTAAATTGTTTCAGTTCTCATCTGTCAATCAAAAAGAGCCCAAGAATACTTATATCAGTGGAATTTAATATGAGCATAATTAATTTAACACATGCCTGTTGATACTGCTTTTGCAGTCACTTAACCTTGCTCTCTCTGTGGTAAGGGAGCCAGTTCTATTCCAAAATCAAGTACCCATACAAGTATCCTCCTAGCTAAGAATGTGGACAGAATAAACTCAATCATCTAGAGAAGATAGTTATGTACATATTTTATGTATTTTTAATGAGCTTTTATTTAATATACATTCATCAGTTCTAAAGAAGACACCAAGACTGGGGTCAGACAAATTACTGGCTCAAAGTAACTATGCCAAGATTTTGTTCAATAATAGAAGATAAAAGGACAACGGCATCAAGCAAGGAACAAAATTTTTTTTTCCCCTAATTTATCACAAGCTTATCAGCACAATAAGAAAACTTCTGGTGATGGAATCTAGGAACAACATCAAATGCCTATCTTTAAAAATGCTATAGAAGAAGAATAATACTGAACTACTAGGGAGAGAACATGATTCAACTTTTTAAAAAATTTTTCATCTATTCAAGAATCAGCTTTTCTATATATTTATTTTTTTACTTACTGTTTAGCATCATCGTCTGCATCGTCATCATCTTCTAAATGTGCCACATGACCCCTAAGAAAATGAACAAGGTACTACGGCTGAGTGAGTTGTATTAAAATTACCTTGGCTATGTGAAAAAAAAAAAATCTCAGCTCAAGGGCTCTCTAACAGAAATTTACTGTCTTTTAGCTTTTTATCATTATTCTTCTTCTCTAAAGCACAGCTGCAATCCAGACAACTAAGCCTCTCCCATATCCTCTCAGCAAGTACGGGTACAAACAACAACTAGTTGTGACAGACATAAGAAATCAACGCACAAATGACTTTGAAACACTTAAGAGGGGGGAAAACAAAAAAAAGAATAAAATTACCGCTGATGCAGTTCTTCTTCAACTGATTTTAAGAGACTCCTTCAGCATTAAATAAGAATAAGAACACAGTTTAATTGTGGCACACAAACTTAGTTATCAAAAGCCAGGGCAAATGCTCCTATGATTCTATCAGTAATTAATCCAAAGCATGTTGTTTTAGCTGGCTTTCAGAACATACATCGAACATCCACATACAAATGAACATAGCTGCATTTTTTATATATATATATATTTTATTTTTTTATTATTTATTTTTACACAACACACTTTCATATGCATTTATTAATGTAGTGCTATTAAGTGCAGTGGCCCTTGGTCCTGGCACTGTAAAACAAGGACTGTCTTAGCTTGATCCAATTTAAAGCAAATCCACACTACCCAAGAAAATCATAATTATAAAAAATAAAAATCAGACTGACAAGAGGATTAAACTATTGTTGGAATAAATTCATTCTACCCTAGTTAATTTTTGTAACATTCTGAATTTCTTCATTTTTGTGTCTTTGTCTGAAAACACAGACAGGGAGGAATAGCAGGCAAAACACAGGGATAAAACCAACAGGATTTCAGAAGATATCAGTATTTGTATTTGCCCCAAGTAAAAGATTGCGTGAAAGATATCATGTTCTATGCTTAGATTTTCTGCATTTTTTTTAATACCATTTAATTTAGCAAAGCAAAGCTAGGCATCCCAATTCTGACATGCATAAATGTAATTAGGAAATTGGGTGGAAAGGAAGAATTACATGGAAAACTATTTCATATGATTAATATAACAAAATTATTAAATGTATGAACATGAAGTTAAAGACTTTGCTGAGACGGGTAAGTTTTATTTTTTAAAGCATCCATAATTGAATGTTCCTAGTGCCCTACAACACGAAGAAGGACATAAAGCAATGTCAAAGAGCAGTACTGGTAGTTCCTAGATGGGGTAAAATTGTGCTCTGTGGGACCTATCATGCACAACATTTTATTAACAAGCAGACCAATATAATGGCTCTTAAAAGGAGGCTTACAGCACCATAAAGACAATATGGTCAACACAGCCTCAAATACTGAAAAGTGCTGTAATTCTGTGTCATTGAAATTACTATTATTTTAGCAATAAAGAGTAATTTTGGAATTGTAGCTGATATAAGCAAGCTTGACATTTTACTACATCCATTTCGGCTAATTTGTGATTTTTATATTAAAAGTCTTGAATTAATTAAAGACAGAAAACGCTGCTGCTTACTCACTTATTTGCACCCAAGAAGTAGCCACACTGAGGACCATGACCATATTCTTCTAGCTGTAGATCCTACAAATACAAGAGAACAGATCGTTAAGATGTACAGGGAAGCATCAAACACATACCCTGTATCGTTCTGCTGTTATCCCCCCTGCCACACCTGAACTACCAAACGAGCTCATTCCTCTGCCCTTCCTGACTCCTCACACCACTCTCAGGCCCATCACACCCCAAAATCTCCTCTCTGACAGTTTGCTACATCTCTAATTCCTTTTAAAACTCTGACCTTAGCCCCTTCCTTGGACACACACATGCTTTGCTCAAGTCAGCTGCAGAAAAGGGAACAAAACAAAAAAAATAATATAATCCAAAAAAAAGAAAAGAAAAAGAAAAAAAAAAAAAAAAAAGGACTTTGTGATCTGCCAGACCCCATACAGAACCCAGCATCCCTCACTGGCACATTGTAGTATTCATTTCAGATGGAGAGTAGCTCTGGCAGGGAGCCTGAAATGCCTCTAGCACATGGGGATGTTAAAGAAATAAGCCAAGAGGACAGTTAAAGTGTTTTTATAGCTCTGGTTATAGCAATACTGTTTTAAGGATAACTACGTATGTTCTCATGTACACTTTAAGATCACCTTTTGTATCAAAAAATACAGTATTAACAGCAAAGTCAAGCAATCATGGAGCATGGGCTACTTAGAAAAAGAAGTGGCAACAGGCCTCCAACACTATTATTCAACAGACACTGTATGACATACAAATTTAATGCATTAATGGCAATACAGGGACCACGTTGAAACACCATCAAATCTGCATCTGCCAGGAGGATACTGCTATAATTACAGGGTATTTTTTAATTCAGGTAGATCACAACAGGAAAAATCTGAACATAAATTTGCTCCCAAAATGCTGAGTGTATTCACCAGGAGAAATGAGTTATGGATCACTTAAGGTAATGATAAATGGAGCTACATTGCTCCTTTCCAGGAAACATTTTAAAGGTCTCCCAACATATTCTGTCAAACAGGCCTTTCAGCTGCAACTCATATCAGAAGCATGCCATCCTTCAGAAAGATGCCCAGATATTCAAGCTATAAGAGCAATAAGCTTGGATTAGACAACTCCTCATGGGGCTGACCTCTCAAAAGGGTATTTTTGAAAATCAGAGGAAAAGTCTCACACTAGATTTGCCAGTACTCCAAGCTAACAAAGCAGAAGCCACTGCAGCTTTCAGTTCCAGACTGAAGGGCAATCACTTTAATACAAAGCTATGCGTATTGTTTTCTGCTCAGCGAGGAGTTCCAGGTTGTCTACTGCACCCTCAGTTCTGCTCTGTAAAGCTAAGCAGTAGTTTCCACATGGGTGTTTCTACCACAGCTGTCAGTAGCTTTTGATTGCTTCAGTGACTCTCCATATTTTCCCCAAACAAGTGAGATACTGTGGAAAAAACAGTATGTAACTGATAATTACTTGATATGAAAGAACACATAGATCAGAGGGTTGATTAAAAATGCAGAGGCAAGCCTGATGCTGGCATTTACTGAACCACAGAGAGACTGACTTTTCAATCTTCGTACCAAACTTATTTGTTACACATCTTCCTTCTAGAATTAAACTAAGAAACCCCCAAACCACCAAATCCCATCCACTTCTATGGAACTGACTCACAAGGGCCACCTGACTTTCCACCTAGACATCTTTCAGTGGAGCTAGAAAGTTAGGCGACAGGAAAGAAGGGCTCATAAGTGGCTGTGCCAGCAGGACGGAAGGCTTGTTTCCCTCCAGGAATGTGTCCCAGGGTCAGCAAGGTAGCAGGTGGAAGGGGTCAGGCCTCAGTTGTGGGTATCTTTGATCCCTTCTGCTATCCTTATCTTCCTTCTTCACAGTTTCATCCTCCTCCTATGCCCCAATCTCAACTCCTCCGACTCCTTCTCCTTCCCTCAAGAAAGGCCATCCTAGGCCCTCGGCAATTTCAGTCTCTTCATCACTCCCAATATCTGTCACCTTATCCAGGCAATTCCCTTCTGCTGGTCCTCACCACCAGTTGATGCACTCGAATCCACCACAAAGAAACACAGATTAAACTTGCTTTACTGTGAGTACTTATACTATTTCTATGCAATCTCAAAAACTTCCACATGTAAGCACAGGTGTTTTGAAGATTCAGACTCTAGAGCAGAAAATAACAAGACTGGAAACATAAGATGTCACCAGACTCACAAACTAGGAGGTTAAACAGGTTGTGTGAGTCTATGTAAGAAGATGCCAGAACAAAGACTGGGAGGCTGTTGAGAAAAATAACCCCAGATCAGTATAATGAAAACTGAGATTTTCACCTTGAAGTGACAAGCGTTTTGTCTGCATGTTGCAAAATCATATTACTCAAAAGCGGGAAACGAAGATCTTATGCTGGGCAGAGCCAAAACATCTGTCCATTTTAATTTACACACTGTGCAATGTACGGCTATATATATTGTACAGCAATGACAGGAAAATTGGTAAAAGAAAATAAGCAAACCCCCCTAACACATAAGGAGCCTTCATCTGTCATCAGGCTTTTAAAGCCTTACTGGCATTTTCTTTAGGAAAAATGACATCTGCCAGAATTACTTATGTTTGAATGCTTTAAAAGGACAAAAGCTTTGCTTTGATTCAGTTTAGTATTGTGCTGCTAATTAGCATTTATTTGACTATGATTCTAATTGGATCCGTATTTTTTTTTGCCTTAACTAGCTTGTTAGTGTTCTTCTAAGCCCTTTAAGTATTGCTGGTTTTCACTCCAAATGTGGGTTGAAGTAATCCATTGCTAGGGAAATCCATTCTTTTATAATCTTGACAGATAAATACTGAGTGCTAGAGAGCTTTTAAAAAGTGCAATACATTTTTTCTTGTACCGTCTATGCCAAATATATCCAGAAGTTATATAAACCTTCTAGCTACATATTTGATACAAAATCATCAGTAAATATTGCATGTATCCTGTAAAGCCTCCTGTGAGCTGTTACGCTTTATCAGAACAACCACTATAACCAGATTTTTTTAAAGCCAAACATAAAGGTATTTTTTAACAAAACAGAAATCTTATCAGTATATGGATTCCCACTGGGAAGAACTGATTAACATTAATTACTAAATAATGCAACAATTCGCTTAATAAAAGCTGCTACCTCTCCTGCATCCCTAAAGTAACCCAACAACTTTATGAACCTACATTAGTATTTTCATTTAACATACATACAATGCCGATTAGTTAATTAAAATTCTTTTTAGATCAGGCAACATTAACACAGAATAAATCTGAGTGACTAGACAGATATTTTCCAAGAGAATCTTGAGATCTACAGCCAGTAGGAATAAGAAGAGGTCAATGATCTTGGTGTTGAATTAAAGATGCAACCCCAGATTATTCTGCACTCAGCCTCAGGTTACCAACAATCCATTCCTGAACCACCACAACCGTGCACAAAACAGAGTGCTATTTGCTGGCAATGATCGCTTTGGAAAAAAGGTAATACAGGGAATAGCTATCAGTTCTTCTCAACAGCCTGGATAATATTAAATTAAGAAGTCATGCAGAAAGACAAATCTCACCTTCAGATAAATCACATGTGCTAAATAATCAATGACTAAAAACAGTATAAAGATTTCCTCAAAGCAAAGACAAATTTGGTGGTAAGGCCATGCTATGAAACAAATTCTGCAGGAATGATCAAATGTACAATACCTTCAGCTGTTTAAATTTCAAGAACTGCTATTTATTTTCTGCAGAATTTCATGACTGATTAATTGTTACTGTAACTTTCACAGTCTTATGTTCCTAATTTGTTCTGTAGGGCTGAGCTGTACTGGGAAACTATTTTTAGGTGTTCAATCCTTCAAAAAACAAAACTGAATGTATACAGTGAACCAGCAATTCACAGTTACTTCCTACATTTGCTGTTCCTGAAATCTAGTGAGAAACAAGATCATTTGGATTTAAAGTCTTAATTTTGTCATTTCGCAAAGTGCTGGGGAAGTAACTCTGAATTTCAAAGACCACAAGTCACCTCTGGACTACTAACATATCAAACAAGGCTGCACATACACATTTGTCAGTAAAATCATCAGGCAATTCCTACCACATTGCTTCATAACAGAGGATGTTAATTTTAAAAAGAGCCTAATATTACCTAAAGCATATGCTATACTTTTAATGCCTTTATTTCATTAAAAAGTGCATTCTTGAATTTCTTTGGATAGCTTAGCACATCAGAAATACCAAGTTATATGTATATTTTCTTAAACATGCTAAATATAATTTTCCCTGACAACTGACTGAGGTTTTACTGTGCATTACTGCTACACAACCACTGTTCACCTGCCTCTTCCACTGTATTTCAGTTCTTTATGCATTTTGTCTATGAGTGTCCACTTGGTACAAACAGCACTATTTCATACCCATATAATGGAACATCACTACCCTAGCTAGCTACAGCAAGGCTTCGACACAACAGGCAATCGTACACAGCATTTTTAAACTCCCTCCTACCAATAAAGTTGCTAGCATCTCATTTTCTCAACTACTTTTGCTGAGGCAGAAAATACCCAAAACATACTGGGAAGAAAAAGAAAGCAAAACCCACATCCCAAACCTTTAGGCACTTTTCCCCCCATTTCCACTTATATTCTTCTGATCTTAAGGACCACGTATCATTTCATCACCTAAAACTGAACAAATTATGTCGACTCTCTCTGAAATTCAGCATTAATAGCTAACTAACTCTAAAAAGATATTGCAAGTAAGTAAGATAGGAGTCTTCATGGCTTGTAACAAAGGAAAAGGACACGTATGCATGTCTACAAAGAAAAAGGCTTCTGGGCGAAGTTCTCCATTATCTATGTTGATCTCTTGAATTCAATCTTTCCCTACCAATATTCTAGTTTTTCTGCCACAAGTAATTAACTAACATAGAATAGCCATGCTGAAACATTGCATTCCTAAAATTATTAATAATTTGTAATAGATTTTGGTAAACACAGAATATATTTATAAGCCAAAACAAAACCCAACCATGACCAAGTTATTT